CTCCCCCTGCCCCTCCACAGCTCACTCTTGACTTTCTCACCCCCCCCCACACACACCACAATTAAGAAAACGTTTGCGTTGAACGTAGAACTCTCTGAGTCTGGTCACATGATCCATGAGAAGAGCAGCCGTCAGCACAGCGCCACCATGGGTGGTGGGTCCATGTCCGCCCTGCAGCCAATAAAACAAACAGCTCCTAATCCAAGAATGTGTGTGTGTGTGTGTGTGTGTGTTGGTTTTAGGTAGCTGTGGCGGTAAGACAGAGGAGTCACATGACCTTCTCACTTCAGAAATCTCTGGGTCGGTCACTGTCCGTGGGTCGGTCACTGTCCGTGGGTCGGTCACTTTGTCACAACAACTGTAACATGTTGTGTTTCCTGGTGACAGATAGGGGGCGGTGACGGTTTGATTTTCTTCAGCTCAGATTAAACAATGAAGGAAACAAAAATAGGACAAAAGAGTGGTTTCAGAAAACTCTGTTTACAGTTTCTCGTATACAGACGCAGTGAATCAGCGCTGAGTCGAAGTACACAGTCTACAGTACACAGTCTACAGTACTCAGTCAACAGTACACAGTCAACAGTACACAGTCAACAGTACACAGTCAACAGTACACAGTCAACAGTACACAGTCAACAGTACACAGTCAACAGTACACAGTCAACAGTACACAGTCAACAGTACACAGTCAACAGTACACAGTCAACAGTACACAGTCAAAGGTACACTTGTGTACATTACAGTGGGGAGAATCTGACAAAAATAAACTGCAGGTTTGGAGACAAACTTTCTGTTTATTCAGTAAAAGACGGAGCTCAGCTCCACCTCCGCCACAGTCCTCAGCTGGTCCTCAGCTGGTCCTCAGCTGGTCCTCAACTGGTCCTCACCCACCATTGTAGCTGTTAGGCCTCCCTACAGTTGTCACTCTCACTCTATCTCCCCCTGCTGGATGGGGAGCAGGGGTAAAAGAAGCTCTTGTCTATTTCAGTTCCTTTTTAGCATTAGCATTAGCATTAGCATTAGCATTAGCCTAACTCTGTTTAATGTCTGGATATGACGTATCTAAATGTAGTATTTCAACAGTTGCCCATGTGTACTCACAAATACACAGGTCAGATGAAGAAAAGACTGTAATGTTCCAGAACATTCTGTCACGGAGAACGTTCGCCAGTCCGTCCTTGGTCGGTCTGCCCTCGGTCAGTCTGTCCTCGGTCGGTCTGTCAAAGACATCTCTTCAACAGCGTTATCTGTCCAATCCATCTGCATCTTAAAGTAAAACCTGAAAATACCTCAGAGCTCCTGCCATTTATGGTCCCAGAGCCAGAGTTTGGATCTACCTAGTTCTGTCCCTGGGACTTTGTCAAAGACTCAGGTAGAGGAGGATGATGGAGGAGTGAGACACCACCCGTCTCCTGTTGAAAGAGTGAGGTCACCATGGTCCAACACACACACACACACACACACACAGTCTGTAAATCACGATCACTCTCTCAGTCACCGCTGGTTTTGTCGTTAACGTTGTCTCCGTCGTGGAGTTTCTCTCTGTTCTGGTGAATTTTATTGCGTCGGTTTCTGAGACCAAACGTTTGGTTTCCAGATTTCTGCTGCGTGAACTCGGCGACGACGGCTAACTGTTTATGGGAACTCCATTTAAACGCAGCTGCTGTTTTACTGTAACATTAAAAGTTGACCAACACATTGGAAAAAAGAATGCGATAATTTAGGAAAGGTTTGGGTCACAATCTGTCACCCAGTAAATCTGCAGTAGTTCCTCCACTGGCCACCAGGAGCATTTTCAGCCTAGCTTTCAGCACAAATGTTCCCCAAAAGTACAAGGTAACAGTAAGAGGTCATTAATAATTACCTGTTAACGAGTTCATATTTTTGTTCTGTAAATATGATTTGATTAGCCTGCTAGCATAGTTAGCATATGAGCTAAAACCCCTAAGGCAGATGGCAGCCTTGTTTGGTCACAGCTTCTACTCAACGTCAAAACGTTTCTTTCACGACACAATATGTCGCAATTCAAAATACCAAAACACTCGTACAACTTTCTTAGAGGTTGAAGACCCCGATCTTGAACTCTGCTTAGACCACAAGTGGGCTCTGAACCCCCGTTTGTGGCTGCGCTCTACTGTCATGTGTTTGAATGAAGCTAAGGTTCCAATCCCAACTTTCCTGTTGAAGCGTTCACCACTAAAACAAACTTCTCAAATCGTTTATTCATGTCTGAATCCGACTGAAGACTAAGACTGGGATCACGTCACTGATCAGTTCCTGGACTTTTCTGGACGACTGGCGTACGTTCAGCTCACAGGTCGTGACTTTTTTGTTTTCTCACACGTTTTCCTCTGTTCCTCTGTTCTTTGAAGCCGTTCCTCAGTCTTTAAAATCCACCGTCTGTGGTTACTGTGGAAAAACAACAGAAGGACTTTGTTGTTTTTGTCACTGGAACCTGGACGTCATTTAACATTTTCACACTGAGCTAAAAGCACTGACAGCACCACATGACCAGGCTCCCATTGGCTGAACCAGCTGTCAATCACTTGTGGTCTCTATTCCAAGTTCAAAGTCTCCCTGAAGGAAAGACTTTGTGACTTTGAGGCCACGAAAAAAATACTTCTACTCCATAATACTCCGAGAGAAATGTGACAATACTGGCCATCGATACTTCACTCCAAAAAATGCAGTGAAGTTTCTACGCTGAGGCGTCCGTACGTCCAGACGCTACACTTCTGTCCCATTAGCATATAAGCTAACAGCTAACTCACGCTAACAAACATGTACTTCACTCATCAGTGTTTCCTCCATGTCAGCATTGACATTTAAAAACACAGCAGTAACAACAGTAACAACAGTAACAGCAGCAGTAACAACAGTAACAGCAGTAACAACAGTAACAGCAGCAGCAACAACAGCAGCAGCAGTAACAACAGTATCAGCAGCAGCAGTAACAACAGCAGCAGTAACAGCAGTAACAACAGCAGCAGCAGCAGTAACAACAGTAACAGCAGCAGCAACAACAGCAGCAGCAGTAACAGCAGCAGCAGTAACAGCAGCAGCAGTAACAGCAGCAGCAGCAGCAGCAGCAGTAACAGCAGCAGCAGCAGCAGCAGCAGCAGCAATAACAGTAACAGCAGCAGCAGCAGCAGTAACAGCAGTAACAACAGCAGCAGCAGCAGTAACAGCAGCAGCAGTAACAGCAGTAACAACAGTAACAGCAGCAGCAACAACAGCAGCAGCAGTAACAGCAGCAGTAACAGTAACATTTGATGGTTGGTTGGTTGGTTGATGTCCATTTTTACAGTAACATTTGATGGTTGGTTGGTTGATGTCAATTTTTGGTGGTTGGTTATGGTTGGTTGTTGGTTGGTTGATGGATGATGGTTGGTTAGTTGATGTTGATGGTTGTTGGTTGGTTGATGGTTGTTGATGGTTGGTTGGTTGTTGTTGATGGTTGTTGGTTGTTGATGGTTGTTGGTTGATTTTTGTTGGTTGGTGGTTGTTGATGGTTGTTGGTTGATGGATGGTTGTTGGTTGGTTGTTGTTGTTGGTTGTTGTTGATGGTTGTTGTTGGTGGTTGTTGTGGATGGTTGTTGTTGTTGGTTGTTGTTGATGGTTGTTGGTTGGTTGATGGTTGGTTGATGGTTGTTGGTTGGTTGTTGTTGTTGGTTGTTGTTGATGGTTGTTGGTTGGTTGATGGTTGTTGGTGATGGTTGTTGTTGATGGTTGTTGGTTGGTTGTTGGTTGGTTGATGGATGATGGTTGGTTAGTTGATGTTGATGGTTGTTGGCTGGTTGATGGTTGTTGATGGTTGGTTGGTTGTTGTTGATGGTTGTTGTTGTTGGTTGTTGTTGATGGTTGTTGTTGATGGTTGTTTGTTGGTTGTTGGTTGGTTGATGGTTGTTGGTTGGTTGATGGTTGTTGGTGATGGTTGTTGTTGATGGTTGTTGTTGGTTGGTTGTTGGTTGGTTGATGGTTGTTGGTTGGTATCAGTAAAGATTTTGTCACTTTTTCAAGATGAAAACATACTTTAAAGATGCGCTAACAATGCTAGCATTGTTACACCATGTTGTTGCCCCTGTGTAATGTCTGCACTGACACGGCAAAAGGTGTGGGGTAACACACACACACACACACACTAACAGCTTTGTGACCAAGGGTGTGTGTGTTTATAGCTCGCCTGTTGACCTTCTATATGTGTGTGTGTGTGTGTGTGTGTGATTGGGTGTGTGTGTGTGTGTGTGTGATTGGGTGTACAGACAGAGATTGTTCTCTCTGGGTGTTAGCTTTCGCTGCAGGAAGTGCACGTTCGGGTCAGGGGGAGATCTGAGCGCGCTCAGTCTGTCCACATCTGTTCAAATACCAGAGACCCTCCAAGTCACACAGGAAACGTGTGCACGTACGTGCGTGTAGATGCCACATAAGCCATTCTTTGTCAAAGCAATTTCTTTATCATAAAAAAGATTTGACCTTTGACCTGCGTTGACCAGGTTCCCACAGTAAATACCAGGAGGGAAACTGGTCGTGTACCTGCTGTAAACAGGTCAGTCTTTCTGAGGCTCCCCCTACTGGCTAAATACTGTTCAGAGTTAGAGGGAAAAAATAAGGACTTTTCTAGGAAGTATTCATTTTTTATAAATATATTTTTATTTTATTTGTACTGTGAGTTCTTTCTAATATTTATTTTTCTAATAGAAATGGATTGTTTCCAAGAACATATATGTACATATATTTACACACATATACAGGTTATATCTGTATATAAAAACATATACTTTAAAACATTAGAATATGCTGGGGTTGGGGGGGGGGTCAAAAGGTCACGACAGAAGAAGCTGGTTGTCCTGAGTCTGGAAGGAAAAGAAATAAATTATAAAAACCAAAAGTTTGTCTTTAAAACTGTGTTTTTGAAGTTGAGTCCCAGCTGTGACTGACAGACGTCAACACACTCTGGACGCCCACCGTGCTGCTTTTCCCCCTAGGACAGTGAAGGCATCACTGTCTTATTAAACGGCAACTTCTGACATTCCACTCAAAATAAACAGTCCTTCAGCAGCAGCCGAAAAAACGGGAGAGGAAAGAAGGGGGGGGGGGGACTTCTGAGACTTCTGCTGTTTGAAAACCACACGTCACTTGAACGCTGCTGAAGTGCATGCACGAGCAGAATGACAACTGTGACATCTAGCGGATACAAATGGCTATTGCAGGTGTGCTGGTCAAAAACAAACAGTCAGTAAAGCAGTACATCCGTCGACTAAAGTTGAATAACACCTAAACTCTGAGTTCAGTACAAATGTTAAAACCAGGCATTAATTCACTGTAGCTCAAGTAGCTTAGCATTAGCCAGATCTCAGTCAATAAACAGGACACAGAGGAAAGACACAGAAAATGATGCTAAATTTCCCAAAGGGATTAATATCATTCATCCATCTATCATCCATCCATCCATCCATCCATCATCCATCATCCATCTATCATCCATCCATCCATCATCCATCCATCTAGAGTCAAAGTAAAGAGAAATGAAGTAACAAATAAAAAGTAAAGTATCAGACTGAACTGCAGTACACGTTCTCTCCCTCAGGTGTCACTAAAGTCATTTCTGATTCTGCTTAAAATCCATGTCTGTCTGAAGTACCACTCTCTGACCAGTAGTGGCAGAGCTCCACAGGTTCATAGGTTAGGTTCATGATTAAGTACGTTTTTGGAGATGCGTTCGTCGGTGCAGGAATCGAAGCAGTTCCACCTGACATCTATGGGGGCAGAATAGCTCCCACGGGACAGAAAGGTACAGAGAAGAAGAAGACAAGAACACAGCAGCGACGCAAACGGGTTCTGGGTCTAAAGGCAGTGAAGGTGAAGTGGAGCACTGCCCCCAGTGGCTGTATTGCTTAATAACCATAACCATGGTATGTGGGCAGTGACCTGTAGCTAATCAGGTACAGGAAGGAACATGGATGTGGTTGGAGGCTCCGACCCACAGATGGTGTCGACCACACAGTACGAAGGCTCCACCTTATTAAACCCAGAACTGCTGGTGTTGAAGAGTCGGCCACTGACGCTGACCAGCGTCTGTAGAAACCCTCAGGACAACATCACCGCGCGTCACATCACTCCTTCTGACACTGACTCCACGTCTCCTGTTCCCATGAGCCTCGGTTAAACCTGCGTCAGCGTCTACCGACCCCCAGAAGGTCATGCTGGGAGCCAGACTGGTCCTCCTTCTTCTGGGACTCACAGGAATCCTTGGGGAGTTGGGACAACTGACAGGGCCAAGAGGGGTGACCACCACCATTGGCATTGCCACACTTGGTTCAGGACCACGCAGGCGGGGGCTTTCCTCCAGGGGAACCCGCACCGCAGCCAACTGCTGGATGAGCTGCGTCCGGGAACGCTTTTCCTTCCGGCGACGGAACACCAGAATCAGGACCACAAGAATAACGATGAGAAGCAAACAGGCCAGCAGGGGCAGTATTATGAGGAGCGGGTCCGACGCTGGACGAGGAAGGACCTCTAAATGATCCGGTTGGACGTCAGGTGGGTTCAGCGGCCCACGTTGGTCTGGTCCTGCTGGGCTGCTCCCCGACTTGTCTCTGGTACGACTGTGGTTCCCCCAGCGGTGGTGAGTCCTCGGTCGGTGATGGGTCCTGTTGTTGGCTTTATGTAATAAAATATGGGGATGTAAACCCACACCCTCCCCTGCTTTTCCGCCTGAAGTCGTCTTATTTTGTGCCGGCGGTCGGGGGGGTGTAGCGTGCGTGCGACCTGCACCGTCCGGACCGTGACCCATCTGGTGGTGTGGAAAGATGGTGAAGTGGAGCTCGCCCTTGGCTGGCTGAACGTTTCCAGCCTTCAATAAGAAGGTGAAGGAATCGTTGAGAGGCGTGGCAGGGGCGTGGCCTCCAGCTGTGGCCAGTGCTGATTGGTTGTCATGAAGCTGGCTGTCGTCGTCACTCAGAGTTTCCTCAATGGCAACCCTGCCTTGAACCACATCTCTGAAAGTGAAGGACTTCAGAAGCTGGGACGCCTGGGTAGGATCGTATGTCATCTGCATACAGGACCAGACGACAACAGACACAAATATATGAACAGACGACAACAGACAAATATATGAACAGACCACAACAGACACAAATATATGAACAGACCATAACAGACACAAATATATGAACAGACCATAACAGACACAAATATATGAACAGACCACAACAGACACAAATATATGAACAGACGACAACAGACAAATATATGAACAGACAGACAAATACATGAACAGACGACAACAGACAAATATATGAACAGACCACAACAGACACAAATATATGAACAGACCATAACAGACACAAATATATGAACAGACCACAACAGACACAAATATATGAACAGACGACAACAGACAAATATATAAACAGACAACAGACAAATACATGAACAGACGACAACAGACAAATATATGAACAGATGACAACAGACACAAATATGTGAACAGACGACAACAGACACAAATATACAAACACACTACAACAGACACATATACATGAACAGACGAGAACAGACACAAATATGTGAACAGACGACAACAGACACAAATATACGAACACACGACAACAGACACAAATATATGAACAGACCATAACAGACACAAATATATGAACAGACCATAACAGACACAAATATATGAACAGACCATAACAGACACAAATATATGAACAGACCATAACAGACACAAATATATGAACAGACCACAACAGACACAAATATATGAACAGACGACAACAGACACAAATATACAAACACACTACAACAGACACATATACATGAACAGACGAGAACAGACACAAATATGTGAACAGACGACAACAGACAAATATATGAACAGACAACAGACAAATACATGAACAGACGACAACAGACACAGATACTGGCTACGTTTACAGCAACAAATGGAATTTTTTAAAAAAAACTATTTCCTCTTTCTGCGATGTTGGTAATAAAAGTTTGTTTCTGTTACTATTGTTTAACATTCCTTCCTTCGGCTACTTCTGTGCTAGCTTCTGTGCTAGCTTCTGTGCTAGCTTCTGTGCTAGCTTCATTTATTTTGGCATTCACTGCAACTTCTGTCATTTTGGAAACTCTTTTTAATCCGACTCTGGTGTCATTTAATTTTACGCACTTTAATTTAAGTTATTTTTGTTGGTTCAGTCCGTTCACCTGTGCTAACCTGTGCTAACCTGTGCTAACCTGTAGCCAACGTTCAGCTAACTTTTGAACACTTTCTTGTTCTCTCTTGGTGATTCTACCTTGACCAGTTTTCCATGTTTCGGTGAAGTCAGAACTTCAAAGACCGGGTCCGACCTGCTGATCCTGGCCAGTTCAGACGCGTCCATCATGGATTTTCCCAGTTTAACAGCGATCCCACTGGGAACCCGGATCGGTTCTCTCAGGTAGAGGAGCGGCCGCACCGTGACCTTCACCGTCTGACCGCTCACATTACCATAATCCACACCATGTGAGGAAGCCGACACTGAGATCTGGAACGTGTCCTCTGATTCGCTGAGGTCAGTCATGTGATAGACCACCCGACCAAACTGAAGGTCCTGGTGGCAGAAGCCCACCACCTCCTGGTCATTGATGGCTATGCGCCCGTGCTGAGGCGACGCAGTAACGGTGTAGCTGATGTTGGCCTGGCTTCGGCCGTTTGTTCGTGCTGCCAGCTGATTGGTTGTTAGGACCACAGCCGTCCTACCTTGGACCAATGAGAGGCCAGTGTTGTTGACGATGGAGACTGAAGGTTGAACCACCTCCAGAGTGAAGAGTTTGTAGAGCGGCCGGTGATGACCGTCGGTCACGTTGAAGTAAAAAACCCCCGTTGACGCCTCACCCTGACGGGTGAGGAGACGGAGAGAGAGTGGGAGGAAGAAAGAAGGAGAAAGAACTTGATGACACACACAGGAGCAAATATAAACAAATATAAACCTGTACATATATTTATACTTCATCATCAGACTTCATCAGTTTACTGGTTTAACTGGTTTAACTGGTTTTACTGGTTTAACTGGTTTTACTGGTTTTACTAGTTTTACTTCACATCTTTCTACAGTTAATAATAATCCATCACTGGTTTGAGTTGATCTTCTACTAACGACCTCACTGTTTCCTGTTGTCTCTGTCCTGTTGTCTCTGTATGGACCAACGCTGCTGCTACACTGTCAGTGGTCAGCCTGTCAGTGGTCAGCCTGAGATCAAGTCCATCCGTCCGTCCGTCCATCCATCCGTCCATCCGTCCATCCATCCGTCCATTCATCCGTCCATCCATCCAGCCATCCATTCATCCGTCCATCCATCCAGCCATCCATTCATCCGTCCATCCATCCAGCCATCCATTCATCCGTCCATCCATCCATCCATCCATTCGTCCATCCATCATCCATCCATCCAAATATAAAGGCTGAGTAACTCGTTCTATTTTTTCTTGTCGCTGTATTTTAGCTGAATGTGACCATTTTTTTAGCTGTCAATGCTAATGTTTTGGAGCTAATGTTTTGGAGCTAATGTTTTCACTGTATCTAAGACTTCATTTTCAACACTGACTTCACTTCACCTGTCCACGTTTATTCATCTTAACTCACGTAGTTTGATTCTTGACCGAGCTGTGATTATACAAACACTACACACTGTTGAAATACCAATACTACAGTAGTCTGGACCTACTGTGTACCGCGTCAGTCACCCCTCACCTGCTGTGTGAAATGCAGTCGACCGTGGTTGACGTCATACTGCGTGAAGGAGGTGACGGGTTCTGGTCTTTCTCCTAAGGTCAGGTAACCGTTGTTGGAGCCACTGATGAGCAGGTAGTGAAGTTCTTCAGGGGGGGTGTCCTGGTCCTCAACCTGATCAAAGAGACACCTGCAGGTAAACACCGGTATTCACTGATGTTCTGAACAGACGCAGCAGTTGTACTGGTGTCTCACCTGGAGGGAGTCTGGACCCAGAACCA